CCCAAGCATGTGCAGTAACATGACATAACATGAAATACATCAACATAAGGAAAAACAAAACCCTGATATAACTAAACCCATAAAGTATTATTCATTTAAATGTATGTATCAGGTAAAATGCACAGTTTTTTTTTTTATCTGAACAATGCCAGCTGGATCGAACCAGGGTTTGGAATGAAGATTAAAAAAAAGTCATACACCATCACTTGTGTGCATCGTAAACAAAACTCACAAATCCGTACATTATTTGGAATATATTTATTAGGATAGACCGGGGATCCAGCTTTTTTGGGGTAATCCATATAATACAGCACATCTATGTGTTTATTGTAATTGTGTTATTGAACTAAGAAATAATAATGTTGGATTTATATATCAGTGTGCACTATGTTAGTCTAGACCTGGACGTTTGTTTCTTTTTTAAATACGTATAACATGTGAGTCTCTCTCTCTCTCTCTCTCTCTCTCTCTCACTCTCCCTCTATATACAGCATATTGCTATGACAATAAAAAGATAAATGCAGCAGTGCAGATATTGTCATCTGTGCAGCTTCTTTTTTGGCCAATTTTTCTGGTCATTTTTTTTGCACAAATATTCGACAAGCTTTCAGCATTGAGACTTTAGCATAAGCTTTCACCCTCCAGGTAAAAAACAAATCTCAGTGAGATCTTGTCATTCTAGGTCTGGAAACAATGGTCACAAAAAAAACAAACACTTTTTTTTCTATTAAAGAGAGGAAAACCAATTGATCATTGAAAAAAAAGACCCAGGATTTTCCTTAACATTTTCTAATAAGGAGATAAATTAATAGTTTTTTCTAAAAAAGAAAGTTTTATTTTATAAATCACTATGGAGGGAATTTATCAAAACTGGAGCAGAGAAAATCTGGAGCAGATTTGCACTGCAAGCAATCAACTTCTCTGTTTCATCTAGGCTGGGTTCACACCTAGGCGTATCGAATATGCGAGTTTATCACGATATCCGCGGTAAACAAACACGCAACAAACGCGCGTTTCCGAGGGCTACCTGGCTGTATCCCAATGGATACGCACGGCAAATACGCAACAAAGAAGCACCACCCATCATGCAATATAGCAGCACCATCTTGGGAAGAAGAGGAGGTTGTGGTGGTTTCAACATGCAGTACATCCCTGTTTATCTGCCAAGATATTTTATGAAATTAGGTTCTTTTTAAGTAATTGGGGTATCACCCATTTCAAATAGGCATAATGAGCTTGATATACATTAATGTTTTGCATGTTCACCCCAGCAGAGTCTAAAAAAACCTAACCTTCTAAACCTATCTTTTCCCAAAAATATTTGTTTATTTATGTTTACTGTGTACAGTATATTTTACTTCTATGTAGGAAGAGGTGATATCTTCTTTCTATTTTTCAATTTCTTTCTTTCTTTAACTTAATACTACTAAGATGTTTCCTTTTTACTTCCCTTTTGTTTTCCTTTTACATCCTATTGTTTTCTCATCTTCATCTACATAGTTTCTGCATAAACTCCATATTGCACTTGTAGTTTTTTGTTCCTTTTCCATTTCTCAGACATTTGTTCACATCTTTCTAACTAAAATATTCTCATCCACATCATAATTCTACATGTTTTGCAGCTTCGTCAGGAATTAAATAGGTGCCCACATTAAATATGAGGTGATTTCTAGTGCTCCTGTGACACGATCATTCAATTGTGTGATCGTTGTTTAAAAAATACACACACTAATCCTGATGTTACAACATACCTAGTGCAGCCACTAGGTACCAGGTTACTATACACGTTTTAGCATCCCAGTAGTGGTTGAGTAGCGCGGTGACATCAGGCGAGTGTGTCCCATGTACTTGGACCACTCTTTTGACAGTGGCTGTTTGCGGTTGCTATACCAACAGGGAACAGTGTTGATTGGTGGGAGGCTGAAAACATTCTTCTGACACCGAGACCCGTGAGTTAGGACTGAGGACAGAAGTGCAGTCCCAGAAATGTGTCAGCAATAAACCCGAGACACAGCAGCGGGCAGGTCCAGCAGTCTCACTACTGTGGTGTATGTCTTGTGCTTTGTGCCATGAATTGTGAAAGGTGACCTAGAGAGACTGTGGTTTCCCTCTATGTGTTTGAATCTGGATTTTACTTGTGAGTATAACTAGTTATTTATTTAATGTTAATATATTAAATGATTTTTCACAAAGAAAAGGTGCTGTCTCTTGTGTTTACATTTTATAGTGCAGCCTATGAACTTCAGGCACATTTTTGTGTCCATGTAAACTGACAGGGAAATCAATGACCTCTTCACTGGAGATGTGGTAGTAAAATACCTAATCCTAATATTAGAAGATACATTGCACATAATCTCTCCTTGATTTCCGTACAGTCGTCTTTGAGTTTACTACAAATACCCTGTCTGTGATTTGGCTGCTATCATTCAGCAAGTTGGTCTAAGCATTTTTTCCCCAAATTTTCGCATTAACGTTAAAAAATTATATACGTAGATGTAGATATACAGATTCTAGGGAACCAGATTACAGGAACAGATCAATCACTAGTGGAGCTGAACTCTTGCAAAATTATATTCCTTACTCCCATTCTAGACTTGTACAGATATACTGTAAATCCAAAGATCAACTTGTTAGGTAGCAGTATGTTTCTAGATAGTGAGTGGAAACAGGCGTGTGAGGTGCAATCCCATGTTCACACAGGATAGCTTAGTGGCAATCAATGTCAGGACTTCAGGGAGGCAGAGTTAAAGTGCTATCTACTGTACCTCCATGCTATTCATTTAGTATAAATATCCTTATAATGAAAAAAACCCAACCCTGGCTGCATTTTAAACAATTAGTTAATAATCAGTATGCCCTGGAATACGCCTTCTGTCCTCCATGCTTTGTGCAAAGATCTGTTCTGCTGCCACAGCTTTTAAAACACGAGGCTGAGTCTTCATGCTACATACAAGTAGATGGGTCTAACTTAAACTGAATCCAAGCAAGCCAGAACCAGGCAGACCTATCCACTTCTTGAATGAACATAGACTCCATAACCCATTAGCATTTATAGTCACAGCAAAGCAGGAGGAACAAAAGAGGAGGTGCTAATATTACAAATATCTATCTATAGTCATTTTACTTTTGGAGAGGTGACCACTTTTTGGCTTCTTAGATTTCCCAGAAACTCTAATGGAAATGTTGTCAGTCCTGCCTGGATTCTCCCTTGCTAGATTACAGAACACCCCTTTATATTACTGAGATAAGGAGAGGGAGTTATTTTATAGTCCAGTGGATGAGAATACAAGCAGGGCTGACAACATGTCTTGGGATTTTAGTGGAACAGAATCAGCACTGTCAGGTCACTACAGGAAGATAGAACCTCACTGGATTTCTGGCAGGACCATCAAGTACCTTTCTGTACTTGCAGAGACAAAACATGGAAAATGCATGTGTTGCAGAAATGTACTAAATATGTTTTTTTTGCTCCTACATACACTTGCCTATCCACTGAATATACCTTCTTGCTCAATTCTAAGACAAAAACACAGCATAGTAAACAGATGCAGAAATCTACCGGGACGGCTCCTAGGCGTAACTGCAGCCCCTGAACATTATCCTCTGCTTAACCCAAAAGACTCGGGCAACATAGAATGGGCCAGGATAGCATACCTGACCTGCATATTCAGAAGCTGAGCTGATGCCACTCTGATAGACCGGGATAGTCACTAAGGCTAGTTCTCTTGTTCATGAATGAAAGAAAACCAATAGTTTCCTCCATCCAAGCTAAACTCATTAAACAGCCTGTTTGGCCAATCATTTTCCACCTGACTAAGTTAATTTTTAAATCGACTTTTGTTGAGCACAGTGGTGCCAACAGGTCTACCTATGTCTCGAATTATTAGAAGTCCGCCAAAATTTGAGCCATATATAGCTAGCCTAAGGAGATTTCAGTAGAAGAGTGGCTTGAATGACAGCTCTGCCTGGATAAAACACAAAAACCCAGGACAAGTAGGCAATACAATATATACAATTTAGACCGAATGCTCACAGCTAATGGTATCCGCAGTTTTTCTAGTTATAATATGGAAACTTTGATTCAAGAAATCAATCAGATTGCCATAGTTATTGGGTTACTGAGGCATTTTTTTTCTCATGAGGCACAACAAATTCATGAACTGCAGTCACCATTACATCTGTACAACCGCAGGACATCATTTTCATCATAATGAGATCAGCCATAGAAAATTTTCAGCAATATGGTTAAAAACCACACAGGTACTGTAGTTTAGGCAAGCTACAGTATTTTTCAATAAGTGATACCACACTTTGATATGTAAAAGAGAAAGACTACATCTATCTTGGTGTATGAAAACATACAGAACATGGAGAAATGGTAATTATACGTGGATACATAACAGTAGGGTGAATGGACCTTCTAAATATCAAGAACACGTATTAGGCATCAAAATGGCATTTCTCATTCATTAAAACAAACATTGCTACAATTTACCCATAAATATAACCCACACGATATCAGGTTGCGCAGTAAGATAAAAAGGTATAAAAGGAAACATTAGTGTTCACTTTAACAATATTTACCAATACCTCTGTACCTTTTTAAATAAATGATTTATCTTTATTTATATTATTAGTATTAGCATTGTTATTATAAAGAATCTTTATAATAGAAAACATCAAAAGGCTGACATTCTGACAAATGGGCCAGTGATGCAAATCTACATTGAATAAATATGAAATGTAGCAAAAATACATTTTATCATGCACTTCACTTAATTTCCATTTATAGAAATTAAATTCTATGGTAGCTAGCAAAAAAGATTCCTAAATATACTATATATTCTGCATTTCAAGTCTGCTTGTTGTAAGCAAGATTGCATGCCGTTATTAAAATACTGCAAGAGGTAAAAGAAGAACAAAACCTAAAAATAACAAAAATACATTTTGGTGCATGTGATATACTTGAATGTAAACATTTCTTTTTTTATATTTTTTTAAAATAATAATGATGCTTTTAGTCATTTAATAACCATAACATCCAATAAAAACAGTGTATTACAGAAAATGTTTAATTATTTGAAAATAAAATTCTAACAGTCCCACAGGAGCAAACTCAATTGATTTCCTTTGTCTTTAAAATGTATTTGAATATTCTGTCTCTTTAAACTTAATTTGAATATTCTGTTACCAAAGAAAAGATAAAACCTCTAAAACAGTTTATTAAAAAATAAATCAGTTTATCACTATGCAGGCAGACTTGCTGCCTTAGCATTTCAGTAAGCCAAAACTAAATCGCCATAACCGAGCAATTACTGACATGCCATCAGCAGGAAAAAAAATATCTACTGTAGCTAAAAATGAATTGCACAGTTACTGTTAAAAATAATCTGATTCATACTGAAAGTTAAAGATGGGCTATTTTACCGTTTATTAATACAGTTTGGTTTCAGTCATACATACAGTTACAATCAGGTGTTGGTGATGGTTATCAATACATACTAAAACTGTTGACACTGCAGATCTTTGGATATTGGCAAGTTCCCTGTAATACAGCATGTTCCAGAACAAACTATGGACAAATTTCAATGTGTGCTTTAAATACTTGTGTTATCTATATCCTCATCATCACCAGACTTAGCGTGAGACCTGGACAGCATCAACAGTTTTTCTTTATTAGTGTACTGCTTCTGTTCTACGTGTTGTTCTGTGCTGGTATCTTCCGAAGGAATTTCAATGTCTATAACCTCTGTTTCATCACAGTCTTGAGTTTTATTGGCTGAGGTGTCTATAGACTCAAAGGAGGTTCCTGCCTCCTCAAGATGAATGTAGCCCTTATTGCTTGATTGGTCAGACCCTGAACTTTGGGAATCTCTTCTTATCAATGGCGCTGTGTTAAGAGAATCCATAAGAACAGCAGGTTTTGTTTTGCCAAATGGAGAACCTCTCACCAAAAGGCTACAGTCTAAGTCTGTGCTACTTAATGACTGGCTACCCAAATCTGACAGTCGCCCAGGTGACATTGGTCTCCTGAAGTCAGGCAGACAGCTTGTGCTCTGGCGCCTAAAAGGTAATTTTCTATGGGTTTTGGGAATTTCCCAGTTTAAGTCTGCATGACTAAAATTGGTCAAACTTAATTCAATCTCTCCCTGGGATACGTCTTTGGCACTTTCGTTTCCTTCCCCGTGATCTTCTTTCTTCTCCAAGAGACAACTATCTAACTTGACAATAGGCAGCGTAAAAGCACTGAGGGAATGACCGACTATGGAACACGTTCTATTCCTACCCCATTCTAGGTCAGGTGATTCAGACAAGGAATCATTACCCTCATCTCTCCCTGAAATTCTGTCAAAAGGTAAAGCAGAGTTGGACCTCTCCCTGTAAATACTATATACCTCCTCGTTCATGTTTATTTGCTCAGTAGGGTGTCTATATACCTTAGGAGAAGACGTCCTTGCTTCCCTTAGATTAGGAGGAGAGAAAGAAATTGGTCCACCAAGAGCAGAATTCCAAGAGCTCTTTGCCAACATTGCAGCCCCAAATGTGTCACCACCTTTTATATCCATGCTCCGAGATTGCACATAATTAACAAACCCATTTAAAGGAACTCCATCTTTAGATTTCATGCCATGAACATCAATCACTGTAGAGTAGAGATCCCTCAAGTTGATGATCTTTGTTTTCTTGTCTCTGTTTTCATGAAGAACTGCATTAGCACAAATAAATAGAAATATTCCAATGCCCATTATTAGAGGACCAAAAACTTTAAGATTATCCGAGTGCAAGTATCCAGAGAACAGACCTGCAAGAAATCCAGGTGATGTTTTTTGCTGAAGGCTTCTTGTTAGGTTTGTGTCACTTACTTTGAAGGCATTCTGATTAGCTCCTTGACTGTTGTGATGGCTCCATGATTGGCTTGAATTTGTACTGATAATATTTATATCACCTGATGAAAGTTTGGCTTGATTTGTCCCTAGGCTGCCATGATAAACAGAACTGCTTTTTGGCCAATATCCCATAACAGCCATGGCTATTCCAAACAAAAGTACCAAAATTCCAAACAGGGCAATTAATCCAGACACAGAGCAAAGTTTAAGTTTGCCTTTTACTACCACCACATCGTTTTTGCGCTTCCTTTTTGCTTTCCGCTTTCTCTTCGGACCTTGGTTTTTGGGTCTGAGAGGATCTTGTTTTCGTGCAGAGATCCTCAAAAGACCTCCAGTGGCAATCATGCCGACCTCAAACTGCCACACAAGTCACTCCAGCTCCTGTGCAATTAAAAAGAGAAAAAAATTAAACCAGGTAAAACACAATTTCCATGTTAAGTATTCACAATTAAAGCGTATGTACTTTGGTTAGAGAAGGGAAGGCATAAACTCCCTGTCATGTTATTTTTTACTGTCTGTATTCTTTTGGGGAGATTTCCCCTTACTGACTGTCCTGGAAATGAAACAGGAAATAAGAGGAAATCTTAACAAATTTAGTCATTCCTCTCTTGGACAGTTGTCATAGGAATAAGTGTGCCCATTGGAAAATGTATCCTTACTTCTTGTTCTGGAGATGATGAAACTACCTCAACAGACTGCAATAAAAACTTGACCTTGGTTCTAATCCTTCCACATGCTATCCACGCTCCCCAAAAAAGTTTTGGGCACACATACACTTTGTTTAGTATGGGAAGATAATAGTGCTACATTAATAGCTTGTTACAAATTAAAGCCGAACTCCAGGATTAAAAAAAAAAAAACTTTTGTAGTGGATCCCCTCGCACTGCAAGGGTTAAATGCTTGCTGAGTCTAAAGGTATAGGAATAAGCTTCATTACTTATTTCTTGCTTCCTGGGCAGCCTTCACCTCTTCTCTATGATGCTCTGAGTTGTGGGTGGATTCTAGCCATCCTCACGTAGTGCTGGTCCTGCATTGTACATGATGACATGCAACCACTGGACAAGGCGCCTAAGAGAAGCAGGTTCAAAGGTCTAATTGCAAAGTGTGATGAAAGTCTGTGGGAGCAAGGAATAACGTAAGTATTACAGCTCATTGCTTTACCCCTAGACTGAAGAAGCATTTCACCTTTGCAGTGTGGGAAGCCCCATTGCAAAGGTAATTTTTCTCTGTTGCCCAGAGTGGGGCTTTAACTTGCAGGGATCAGTTTGGCTCTGGTGGTGCAAGATACCAAACTGTTAATACTTGATATAGTAACTATGGCAAGTCTCACAATGTCAACGTTTTACTAATTCAAAAGTTGTGATTTCAAGATTTATAAAACCTTTACATTTATTTAAATAAATAATATATTTAAAATGCAAACAATGATAAAATGTCAGGATTTGCCTGAGATGATTTTTAAGCATAAAAGAGCAAGACTCAAAATAGCATGCCAATGCATTTGCAGATATACATCCTCAATAAAACTAAACAATAATATTCTGGTTGTTCCTTAAAGTGATATTAAACCCTCAGATTTTTTAACTTAAACCAATACTGTAATGTGTGCCTTACTGTAATCCATGGTAGTTTCCCTTCTCTTTGCTGCTCTTCCTTTTAAATCCTCATGTCTTCTCATGCTGGGCAGAACTTCTGTTTTGCAGCAGACTGCCTTGTCTCAGGAATGGATATATTAGGGGTTATTCACAAAATGGTGAAGAGTTTGGAGAAGGCAGGATAAGGGAACAATCTAGGACAACATAGCTGAACCAGAAAGTGAGCTGAATTGGAGAATTTTTCCAAATCGGCTATGTTGTCCTAGATTGTTCTCTTCTCCTGCCGTCTCCAAACTCTTCACACTTTTGTGAATAACCCCCATGGTGTCTGTGTATAGGTTTGTATAGGTTTGTAACATGAGCCAGCACTACAGGAAGAGGCCCTGAGCTGCAAAGGTAAGTTCTCCCCAAGCATGAGAAGACACGAGGATTTAAAAGGAAGAGCAGCACAGAGAAGGGAAACTACCATGGATTACAGTAAGGCACACATTACAGTATTGGTTTATGTTAGAAAATCTGAGGGTTTAATGTCACTTTAAGTCTGCAACTCTCAAGCAATGAAAAACTATTCTGTAGGGGTAACTTTCCTTTACTGAAAAAAACAACAGTAGCTTGGAACAGTCTGCCCTGGTAAGCTTTCATTGAACATAAGGAACCAAATGAGGGGTAAAACCCAAACCAATTACTGTTGCGGTTTTGGCATCCCCTTAGTAGTCAGTAGCAGAAAAAAGAACTTTGGACTTTCTATCCAGCACATACAACATTAACTGTTTAAACACTGTACAACGCATAGAAAAATATATTATTTTATTGATAAAATGAACAATCTCTAGTTAGGTTCATCTATTAAAGCCAATTCACATTGTCATATATGTTATCTATGAGACTAGACACTGTTTAGCAAAATGTTTAGCACATCTTTGGACAAGATATACAACTTATTACAACACTTAGGGGTCTACTCACGAAGCTGTCGAAGGATCTGGCCGTAGCTTCGGCCGATCCTTCGGCTAGCTTCGGCCCCAGGACCCCTTCGGTTCAGTAGAACCGAAGGGGTGCTGTACGGGTTATTCACAATAGCCCGTACAGCTCCCGATCATGGCCGAGCGGCTCAGCAGAGCCGAGCGCATATGCATCGGCTGGCTCCGGCCACTTTCAGAGAGATCAGCGTCCCTGGTTAACTGGTAACCAAGAAGCCACTCGAAGCTAGCCGATGTATGGCTGAAATCAGCCGTACCAGCCTGAAGTGAATAGCCGAACAGTGTTCGGCTCACTTCACTTCAGATTGGTCATTCACTCGGCTGCCCTCGGCAGCTTGGTGAATAGACCCCAAAGTTCTATGCATTTTGTGGAATCAGAAGGTGCTTAAATCAGAAGCAAAACAATTATAAGGCCAATTATTTAAAAAAAATTGACACAATAGAAATACATAATCTCCTCCCACCTCTTTTCCCTCTGACCTTCCTGTATAGGTCACTTACTGTATATATACATAAAACTAATGTATTAAATAAATAAACCCTATATAGAAAAGGTGTTATGGAAATAGATTGAGAGCTCCTGTGCGTCCACATGATATTATCTGCTTTTTTTGTATAATTATGAACTGTAATGTTGTATAATTTGGTTAAAGATATTTAATTTGATGTTTGATTTTGCAGATGTAAATAATTCAACTATGTTTAAAAAAAAATGAAAGAAGTGATGCCTCCAGGGAGGAAACAGTGGGGATTGGAAGACGGGCTAGGAGGAGGGGGATGAGCATCCTCCCAGTCTGAGACATTCCCAGGTGCCATGTACATGACGGTGCCAGGTGCCATGTCCCATGTTGAGTCCATCTATAACAGCCAGATTGGTGTGATTTTACCCCTCTTTCTGTGGATGCTTAGGGTATGCTAACCATATTTGTTCTTCATATTTAAGACCTTCTGCAAACCAATGTTTGACCGGCAGACTTGACACCATGTATGCAGAAAATGTTGTGTAAGCGGACAGGGGAGCATCGCTTAAAATCTGCATTGGAGATTTGTTGTAGGTTTGAATACTTAAAGTGACATTAGAGTCACAATCGTCCCCCCCACCCCCATGCTGCTTTAAGGACTTACCTTAAATGATGCCTCTTGATCCGATCATCTTCTTCTTTCCAGTAGTTTTCAGCAGTCCCTCCAGTGCTGGTGCCAGTCTCCGATCCATGCGCAGACTCCTTGGATCCCACGGTGTCTGTCCTATGTGCACGTTGCATGCATTCACCTCCACTGTGTCTCTCCTCTTCTCCCCATCGAAGATCTCTACTGCACATGTGCCTGCCCCATCATCCTGCATGGCCACTCAAGAAGCTTCAGATCTTCAGCCTGGAGCAAGCGGAGGAGACAGAGGTAAGTATTTACTAGGGATGCACAGATACCAATACTAGTATCGGTATAGATAACGAGTATTTGGGCAAATGCTCTAATACCTTCCATGATATTGGAACTTCCAGTCAGAGGAAGATTTCCTCTAATTAGCAGTGCTGTAGGCGAACATGGAGCAGCTGGCTCCATGCTGATTGGGTGGGAAGCTGGCTTTCCACCCAATCAGTATGGAGCCAGCTTTCAGGCTAAGGGGGATCTTCCAGGGGGGTCTAGTATGAATTGGAGAAGGGGAACCCCGCTCTGTTTTTTTATTTTCGCTTTTAAAACAACCGAACTCTATCCAAATAGATTCAAATAGATCTGAATTCCGAAAACTAAGACATTGAATCGATACAAATTTGGAATATCAAACGGATTTGAATTTAAGAAAGCAAAAAAAAAAAATCTGAATAGAAACAAAACGTAAAAGAAACTAAATGTTTAGCCGTCCACAAGTCTAGTCCTGAGGAAGCAAACCAGTTCCATGACACAAGTAGACCTTTGTGTTGTAATAAGTTGTATATTTGGTCAAGTGATGTTCTAAAAAATTTTGTTAACCAGTGGCTAGTCTCATATATAACAAATGTAACAGTGAATTTGTTTAAATAGATGAACTTATCTAGAGATTGTTTTTATATGCGGGTTATTAATGAAATCATATATTTTTCTATGTATTGTGTGGTTTTTTAACAGTTAATGTTGCATGTGCTGGATAGAAAGTCCCAGTTTCTTCTTCCCAATTTCTGTTCCTAGCATTTATTGGACCAGGAAAAAGTAGTCAATGAAAGCACAATTGTGCATTGGTTTGTAATGCATAAACAAACTTCAACCAGTAAAACACTGGGGTGTAAAAGGGAGCAGGAAACCTTTGCATTGGCATTGCATTTTCGATTGTGGTAGGTATGCAGTCAATACCCTAGATTACATTCAGATTTCTCATAGGAGTACTAATTCCAGTACAGCTACTCCTCACTTAAAGACCTACCTGTTTAACGACTGCTTGGACAACCAGCTCTCTGACTAGTCAGTATTGTACACTGTACGAGAACGTGGGTCAAGCTCATCTCGCTTCACCTTTTCTTAAGCTGGCCATACACCTATAGATTTTCTACAGATTTTTTTCTATCAGCCTATGGTCAGATGGAAAAAGTGCAACAGATTCCTCCGTCTATGCTAAACTGTGTAGATGGAGGAATCTCCCACTGGGCCAAGCTTCAGTATTTTGCTAGTCGGTCCTGCTGGCTGTCTAAATACCTAAACGATCTGATTGAATTCAGGCATTGTTCAGGTATTTTGAGAGTCTCAGTCTCGTTCCCACAGTCAGTCAGTATTCACTAATGTACTGTAGTATTTATAGTATGCAAACCTAAGTGATGTACTGTATAATAGAGCTGAT